GCCACCAGGGAGTCCCTGTCCAGGCCAACTGAGCTGCCCTGGGGGTGCCCATCCCACAGCTCCCTTGGGAACCCCCCTGCCCAGGGATCAGTGTCCACCCAGGCACGGAGCCAACCCCACACACAGGGGATCACCCCACACCCAGCAAACAGGTGGGAGGCACCTTGGACTGCCAGGGATGTTCTCCAAGTGCTGGATGCAGAGAGCAGCCCCTGGATTGAGCTCTGGCCAGAAAATGCCCAAATCACAGAGGAAACCAAGGAGAAATCCAACATCCTTGGGACGCAGCCTCGTTGCAATGGGATATAATCAGTTTTATTTCTTGCTTTAAAGAGATCGACAATATGTGGACTGCAACTGCAAAGCTACCTGGCCAAGAGAACAGTTCTTCCCAAATCCCTCAAAAGCATGGATCTGTGCTCCCTTCAGCACCACTTCCCTTCTCAGCTTGGAAAAACCACAGCAAGTGGAAGGAAGGACGGTTTGGAGGGAAGGGCACGCTCCAAACACCTTGATAAAGCAACAGCACCCTGGGGCACTTCCAGGGATCCAGGGGCAGCCACAGCTTCTCTGGGCAGCCCGTGCCAGGGCCTCCCCACCCTCACAGCCAGGAATCTCTTCCTAATACAGGAAGCAGGTGAAGCTACAGGAGACAGATGAAGTTTGTGGCACCATCCACCCTAAGAGGAAGACTTGAAGACCTCAACCCCAAACTCAACTTCCCACACCCGTTTCAGTGAGCTGTGCAGAGACAGCCTGCCAGAGCTGACTCCTGCCAGAGCTGACTCCTGCCAGAGCTCACTCTCACCACACTGACGTGCTCAGGGGGAGAAGGGCCCTGCTCCAGAACAGGTCTGACCTAATTAGCAAAGCCACTTCTCCAGCCAGAATTAACACCCAGTTACCAGCAGTTAATGCAGAGCAGGAACTGAAACACCCCCCCAGAAATGGCTTCTAAAGAGGGAGCACTTCAGCCACACTTCTGTTTTTTGCCGAGGTTCTCTTGCTCTCCAGGGGTGTCCCCGTGTGTTTAACCCCTGTCTCTCCCAGGGTCATTATCTGCTTTGCTAACAAGCTCCTGGAGCCTGTCAAAGAAAACACTCTTCCCTTCACGCCTGATGGTGTCTTGGACGAGTTTCTGCGGCCTGGAGGTAACCAGGCACTGCAGAACCCTCAAATATTGGCACCTGGGAATGCAGACACTGCCAAAACCCACAGTTACCACAGACCACCGGGCCTGGAGCCACAGGGATGTGGTGGGAACACCTCAATTCCCTGCCCTCAACAATGCCAGGGCAGGTACAAGGCCTGACCCAGTGGGTTCGAGGTTCCCAAGAACAGGGACAGCTGCTGGTGACCCCCCTCAGATTTCCCCCTGTCTGGGAAATCCTGAATTAAGGAAGAGGAATAAGCATGGAGGTTTTGTTTTGACCCCTCCCAAAACACAACATGTGTGGGTGAACATTCCCCACTGCAGCAGTTGTCCTGCATTCCTGAATCCAGCCCGGGCAGGAGCACCTGGGAGAGCTGAAAAGCAGAGCCCGAGGCCAGGAGCAGCTCTGGGAAGCCATTCCCAAGCAGGAATGAGGTGGAACTGTGACTCAGGTGACTCAGGACACAGGTGGAGCTCTGGTTTGGCTTTGCTGGCTGCAGCTTTCAGGTGAAAAAATGCCACCAGAGCTGGTACTTGGAACCTTATCCAAGATAAAGAAAAGGTAGGATCCACTTGCTTGGGCCTTATAGAATTCAGTTCCAAGGATTCCTGTGGAGCAGTGAAAAATCAGGAAGCAACACCCTGACTGCTGCTCACAAGCACAAAGGGCCCCAGGCAGGAGAAGCCACCTCAGGGGGGTTTCAATACCTGGAAGCAGTCCCTCTGATAATCCTTTTAGTGATGTGAGAGCAGCCCCAGCACCATCCCAGCTCAGAGGAAAACCTGCAGCTGTGGCAGCACAGGGGCAGCTCTTCCAAAAGCAGAGGAGGAAAATCATCACAGCGGGAGTATTTTGACCAAAACAGACTTGGAATTGAAAACTCCAAGACAAGACTCTGGATATACACACGGGTGTGCACAGACCTGAGCACAAAGGTTTGCTCAGTCCCACTGGAACGATTTCTGAAAGGTTTCTGACAGAGATTATGTCCTGCTGCCACTTGTGTCCAAGAGAGGGTCCACGAGGAGAGCAGGGAATTTACAGCACGTGTGTGCCCAGGGTGAAACAAGACTGCAAAGCCCAGGGAGAGAAGGGCAGGCAGGGGTGGAGAGAAAGATCAGCTTTCCTTCTCCCCATTTTTAATTCATGGCTTTGGAGGCCACCACCAGGTGCCTGCTTGTATCTCATTTACTGCTTTAGCTCACTTAATTAGTTTCTACCTCTCAAACCGGATGAAGGCACTTCATCCTCGTGGTCTCCTTTGTCCCACAAAAGGAGACGACACAAACCCATGGAGTTTAAATAAAAACCAGCTCCTGGGGCGGCCTGGAAGGGACAGCATTGCCCAGAACCCCCCCCCAAACCCCCCGTGTGTGACTCACCAGCAGGCCAGGATGCAGAGGCCAGTGAAGAGGATGATGGGGATGGGGTAGGAGGCACAGAGCAGCCCGTGGCTGTAGAAGGCCCCCGAGATCCTGAGGCGCAGCCGCTCGGTCAGGGTCATCCTCACTGTCAGCTCGCTGCCATCCCGGGGCACGGCGGGCACGGGGGCACCTCCCGCATGGAGCACTGCTGCCTGGGGGTCAGGGGGGGCTGGCAGAGAAACAGAGAGCAGAGAGAAAAAAAAAATAAATTGTTGGCTTGCTTTAGAAAGATCCTCGGAATTCAGGAAGGAATTCCTGGCTGGGGGAGGGTGGGGAGGCCCTGGCACAGGTTGCCCAGAGAAGCTGTGGCTGCCCCTGGATCCCTGGGAGTGTCCAAGGCCAGGTTGGTTGGAGGGGGCTTGGAGCAACTTGGGCTGGTGGAAGGTGTCCCTGCCCATGGCAGGGGGTGGAATTAGATGGGCTTTGAGGTTCCTCCCAAAGCCCAAACCATTCTGGAACTCTGTGATTCTATGAAATGATGGAGCAGATCCAACCTCCCTCTCAGGACTGGACCAGCCCTGTTCCGTGATGAACTTGGGAACAACACAGATTTGCTGCTCCTGTGGCAAAAAAATAAATCAGCAGTGGCTCCTTGCCCAGCCTGAGCTGCCAACAGCCACTCTGGGGAGCATCATGACACTGGGAACAACTTCCACTAACTGCAAGGAGGAAAACTTGGTATCTACTCACTTCACCTGCTGTGAAACAGCAGCATCAGTAAGAAAACATGAAGCATTCCAAGGCTAATCATTCCCTGTTACATTTTTGGGGATTGCCTACTGAACTCTGCCACCCCTCTTGGCTTTACACTACCACAGAGCTCCTAAGGGTGAAGGGCAGGAACTGCTCCTGCTCCAAGCCACTTCTGCACACAGATGTTATCTAACTCAAACCAAACCCTCTGACTGCAGAACAAGTGCTGAAGGAGAATCCACTCCCTTTGGCAGCACCACAAATCCAAGACAAAGTCTGCCTGGAGGCACAGGGACATTGGGATGTTCCCACCCTGCAGCACCACAGGTGGCACTTCTGGTTCACTGCAGGTGCAAGACATGGACACACCCACAGAATTCCACACTCACTGGGGTTGGAAAAGCCCTCCCAGCCCATGGATCCCCCCTGTGCCCGATGCCCACCTTGTCCCCCAGCCCAGAGCACTGAGTGCCACAGCCAGGCCTTCCTGGGACACCTCCAGGGCTGGGCACTCCAAACCTCCCTGGGCAGCCCCTGCCAAGGCCTCACCACCCTTTCCAGGGAGAAATTCCTCCTGATGTCCAAGCTGACCCTTCCTCTCCTCCTGTCCCTTGTTCCCTGGGAGCAGAGCCCGACCCCCCTTGGCTCCCCCCTCCTGCACATTCTCACACAACCCAAGACTGACCAGCACAAGGAACAAATGCAGAATTTCTTCTTGTAGGGAAAAAAAAAAAATCAACTCCAACTTGCTGCTTTTCCCAAGACAAAAGCTTTTATCTCACTCAAGAACAGTTACATGTTCCAAATTCTTTACATTTCTGCCTGAAAGCCTATTAAAGCCTTCCCAGGAACCTCCCTGCACACTGGGAGCAAGGAACCAGCTCAGAGCCCAAAGTGAGCTTTGAGGAAAAACTACCAAAGACAGAAAACTCCTCCATATACAATACACAGGATCCCAGGGCTTTAATTATATTCCACTCCTCAGTCTTCCACAAAACATTCTGGAATTCTTGGCAAAGGTGTCCTAAAACCACACAACCAGGCTAGTGAAGAGTGGAGGGGGGGGGAAATAAGGAAAAATAAACAAATCCCTGTTCTGAAGCAATTTCTCTTGTACTCCAATACACACAATAATTTGCTCCATCGTGCTGCCTGAAATCAAACTTCCAACGGGAATTTTAACCCAGCATTTTCCCTCTACAACATCTACTACCAAGCTTGGAAAAGCAGGAACAGACACAACATGTTCCCTCTGCCCCTCAAAGCCCCCCCCCAATATCCCACTGGGATCAACACGTCCAGGGCCTGACCTGCCTCTCCCCCAGGAGCAGATGTGGGATCTGAGGAGCTTTCCTGCCAAGGCTGTGTTTGGGGAAGGGCAGGGGAGGTGGGAAAGGGAAAGAAGGAAGGGTTTAGTGAAACTGTGCATTTATAAAGGTCCCTGGGTGGGTCCCTGCCCAGGGAGCAGCTCGGGGTGCTCACACAGCACGTGGGCAGGGGACCAGCAGCACTGACTCCTGTGGGCACTGCCA